TCTCACCAGTGGAGCCAGCTTCCGTCCAGGATTGCCAAGTCGGTGAGGTGATGGAGCAGGGCGCCGTATCGCATCCGCCCATGGTGTGTGGTTCGGACCGCGCGGATCCCCCAGAGGTGACGGCTATAGACAAAAGAGGAGAATCCTCAGGGGCCAGCGAATCGAACAGCGACAAGACCGTCACTCCTCAGCAGACCCAGGATGGTGGTCAGCATGAGGAATGGTGCACCCCAAACAAAGGCAAGCCGCCGACGCCCCAGCACACCAGGTAGAAATTAAATTCTGCTGGCACCGCATCCAGCTGTTGCACTCGCTCCAGTTCCTTGTCTTGGAGGAAGTATCCTGCCCATCGGTGTACGTGGTGATCTGAACAAATTTGTGCCAGCTCTTTCGCTAAAATCAATGGCAGTGATATCAGACATTGCCCAAGCTATTAATAAAGGACACACGCACCAAAAGCCCTGCCTGCACTTAGCCCAGTCTTTGCCTTGGGGTGTGCGCCGCAGGACACCCGTCACCCCCACTGTCACAGCTCTGGTGGAAAGCATTGTGTTGGATTTCTTATTCTCCGACGCACAAGACGGCGAAGACGCCACAGAAGGTATCAGACTTGAACAGAGCATCTGTCGCCGGGCGCGGGCGCATCCCATCTCACCTTAAAGTTCACCCAAACAGTCCCACCTTTCAGTCAACTGCCGGTGATGCTTCCAGCCCCTGCAGCGATGCTGCATCGGAAAGCCAACTGGGTGCTTAGTGTGCATATGGCAACCCCCTGTGCTGTGATGATTTCTTGCCATTGTCCACAGGCTTCAAGGCCTGTGCATCACAAGCGTTGACTATGGGCAGCCACAGAACAATTCTGGGAATGGGTGCCTGGGAATACACTGGGCATACGTGAAGATTGCGCGAACATCCACCGGCCCAAGTGTATGGCTTTTGTCATGTGGCCTTCGCGAAGAATTATGCGTATCACATGCTCCCATGGTCCACTGGCAAACATAGCAATACGGGGACTGCACAATTTTCCATGGCATTCAAGCAGTCATGCACCCTGACCACAAATGGGCTGTTTTTGCAACAGGTATTGAGGCGATCAGTGGAGATAAAGTAGCAGGATTTAGTCAACAGGGTCTCGTACACGTGTCCATGACAGTTGAACCCACAGAAAGAGTGGCAGTGACTGTGAGACCAGCAGCCACGGAAAGAGAGCAAAGCATCACTCCCCCCTCAGTCGAAGCACCCCATTCTGCTTCGGGCTCAATTTGTGCATTTACTACCCGCACATCAACTGATGCCTGGGCCGGGTGTGCCAAAGAGAATATGCACACCATCCCCGTTGAAGATGACACTGACCACATTCAGCTTGCACAAGTGGACGCTGGTACTCTGGATACGGAACTCGTGAACCTGATTGAAGAGGCAAGATTGGATCAAGACTTTGAAGATGACCCAGTGGTGGAGGCGCTCAAGGCACAGATTAACCTGTGCTGTGTCAACCTGATCTGAGCCAGCCTCCGAGCAACGTGGCAATGTTGGATTCGGCCGACAGACCATCTGCCAAGATACCAACGCACAACTGGCTGTGTTTTGTGCACAAACATTGATCTGCTGGCCATTTGCACAGTCATTGGAAGCAGCACAGAATGCAGATGTTCCAGACCACCACCTCACACTGTTTGGAGAAAGCAACCAGCCACAAAATGTAGATGTGACAAAACCGATGTTTGACAGCTCAGAATAGGGAAGCAGTGAAACTTCTGATGTCAAGCCTCTTCAACGTCTCGTGCTTCTACTTGCCATTGTGCTGGCAAGGGCGCCACTGTGAAACCCCGAGTCCACATCCACCCCCCGAAGGGCGCACCACCAGAAGTGGTGCCCCTTCCCAGATATTCAGGTGCGATTACCAATAAACAATCCCAATCGATTCTCACCACCACCAACTTCAAAAGACCCCACACAACAGTTTCTGTGAAAACAGGCGGGCGCACTTTGTTGTCAGGACAGGAGGCACAATGGCTTGGCTGCCAACCACCAGCACGAAATGCGGAACACCTGCTCCCAAACACTGCCCAACTTCTGGCAAGCTGAACTTCATACGCCGCTCCCGTCCACAGAGCTCGATGGACCTCATTTCTCCTGGAACCACCAGCTGTCACTACCCCCGAGAGAACTGGATCAAATGGAAGGAATTCGTCTCTCCCCGACTCCGCACGTCCCCGGACACCCCCCGCATCGCACGCCTCACAGCAAGCGAACGAGCGCCCGCCAGCCGCTCAGGCTGTGGACTTCTTCAGGAAGGCGATTAGGTCGGTGCGGTCTTGGGGCTTCTTGAGACCCGCGAACACCATCTTGGTACCTACACATGAACACAGCGTTAAACGAGGTGCCTGAGATTAGATCTCCGCCCCAAGCAGCAAGAGCGCGGCGATCTGAACCCCTGGGGGTTGGAGTGCCCACCTGGGATGTACTTCTTGGGGTTCAGCAGGTACTCGTACAGGGTGTCCTCGCCCCACACCACAGCCTTTTCCTTGTTGGCCTTGGAGTACGAGAAGCCGGCGGTGGTGCCAGACTGCCTGCCCAGCAGCCCACCAAGGTTGGGCCCCTGCCGGCAAACACACACACGCACACTTACCCAACCGCCCGATTCGTCGCGATCCGCCGATGTCAGATTCGGAGGCAATCGACAAAGGCGCCTCCGACGCGCCAACGCCGAAGATGGGCAGGGGACCGCGCGCACACCTGTTTATGGCCGCCCCCCTTCTCCGCCACGTGACATTGGGCGCACTTCGTCTTGAAGATCTTCGCCCCCCGCGCCTCGTCTCCTGGGGGTGCCTCCCCGAAGGTCGCCATCAGTGGCAGGAGGTGGCGCGGCGCGGCGGGCCGGGGGGGCAGCGAGGCTCTGAACGGGTCGTCGCTCGCAGGCGCGCCGCACACTGTGGGCGCAGGCTGCGGCGGCAGATGTAACCAGACCCACCCGTTGCAGCGAATTGCTGTAACGGTTACGCATCGCAACCAACAGGACATCAATGGTGCATCAGGATCAGGCGAACTGGGAACGTCTGGTGTGGCGTCGAGCCTCGAACCACCGCAGAAATGGCGTCCCAATGGCGAATCTTCCAGCAATGTGCCGGTCACGCACGAATTGAGACGCTCGCCCGTCCGAGCTAAACTCGACGGCGAAGTGCACCCACAATGGGCGTCTGTCAGCGCGGCATGTTCTCCACTCAGCGGGGTACAATCCCCGAAGGTCACTCACACACAACAGCGAGGTGGGCCCAAGGTTCGCAGTTGTTCGTTACAAGTGAAGCCGTGTGTCTTTAAATACCCAAGCCGCGGCGCGGCACCGTTACCAGGGTTCTCTGAAAGGTCCCTTCAATTTCATACAAGGTACGAATGTACCTTTTACCCAGGGTGCGCCTCCCACGTCTCAACATACTGGCCACTCCCGTCTAAGTACTAGCCTGCGTTACCCAGGGTATCCTTACCCTTCCCAATCCACCGGCTGCCTTACCCTTGGTAAGCCGCCGACTGCATTACCCAGGGTGTCTTACCCTTGGTAAGCCGCCGACTGCGTTACTCATGGCGCCTTACCCTTGGTAAGCCGCCGACTGCGTTACCCATGGTGCCTTACCCTTGGTAAGCCGCCGACTGCGTTACTCAGGGTATCCTTACCCGGCCTAAGTCACGGGGATCGCCTTTGCCGCCCAGAACTCTACCATACCCGTCAATTACCCAAGGCATTCGGCCCGATTCTCCTTGCTGAGGCGCAGCTCGCAGTGTGACTCACTCTCCAGCCTTCCCTCCGTCAGATCCAAAGTTGGGCCCGCTCTTCATTGGGTCAGCTCGTCCTCCTGACACTCCACAGCGATTGTACAAGGCGGCACGTCATCACCTCTCCAGCATAGGTTCATGGATCCGTCTTCCGTCCTCAGGGCCTCCGGCTCAAGGGTATTTGGCAACACTATTCTTCATTGGACACTCTCGCATGGCAGCTCGCATCCGGGATATGGTTGCTTCATCGTCATATGGGCAGGACACCACCTACAACCTTCACAATTACTGCAGAACACTCCAACATGCATAGACTTTCCTATAATCCAGTTAGCATACCGCAATCAGTCCCCAAGGTACATGGTTCAGGCGGGGTACTCAGAAAATCGCCACATCTGGCGCGGTGGCGCAGCAGCGGAGCCAGGAGTCGTGGCAGGCACCAGCCAAGGCATTTTATATACGGAGGCGAGGAGGCAGCCATCGGCTCCCTGCTATTGATGATAGTCACCAATGATGACAGTGACATGTGGCTGTGACATGATCAACTTGATCAACTTGAACTTGTCTGTGAAATGCGGATTGTCTAGAAGCAAAATCAGGAAGCGAATTCGGCAACGTTGATCCCTTGGGCTTGATGATATTTTAAGGGTTTCCATGCTTAGCAATTGCGATCAATGGATAAAGGCGGTTTGGCAACATCGAATTTGTGAAATTTGCGCGTTCTGAAGGACAGCAACTGAATGGTTGGATTGTGGCCATGCCTTAGGTTCCCATGAACATTTCATGGACACTGCTTGCTCGGGCAAAATAGGGAGCTGTTTGCTGCCTCCTCGTCTTGATACGTAAGAATTCTTGATGATGACGACATTACGACAATGACATCTGGCGGTCACCCACTCCTGCCGCGCCCGACTAGGAGCAGTCGAATCCTTCAACAAGTCGACGGAACAAGTGTGGTAAGCCCATTGATCACAAAAAAGTTTGTTGTTCTACAAATGTATCAGATGTTCAGATAACCAATTCAGTTCCCTCAAACGCGTTACCCGTCTCACACATCAGCAACAACCCTCGCTGCGAAACCCAAACAGCCCTCTGATCATCTCTCCTCGCGTTTATTATCATCAGCATGGTTCCCCTCTGTAGTACAATCAGCTCACGGAGCAGAGCCAATACAGAACTGAGCTCAGAACTTGTTGAAGCTTTGGAAAAAATAACCGAAAAAAATGTCGTTCACTAGTTAGCAGTAATCACGACATTATAGTGTGCGTGAAAATTTCAGAATCGGCCAAGCTTTGGATTGATAAATCGAAAACGTCATTCCCTAATTATTGAGTCGACAACTCTAAGCTCAACAATCGTATGCCTTCACAAAATCCATGCCATATGAACTGCCACAACGGGGCCCGTTGTGGCAGTTCACATCGCATGGAACAGGGCCGGCCTGTTCCGCCGGATTTTAGACCTATGGGAATCAGCTGCTGACAGTCGTGCTTCGCATTTCCAGGCATTCGAGGTACCCTTTTCGGGCATGGAAGATACGGCTAAAAATGTAACATGAGAAAGTAGCTGTATTGTTTCGTATCTTTATTTTGGCATGGGGTTGGAGCGTGGCAGGAGTTAATTCCTGATTGATGATCTGCCAGTGGTGTCGTGGGTGACCCTCTGCATGGAACTTGCAAAGGAGGCCAGTGCCCAGATCGGTAGCAATCCGCGGGCGCTCAAGTGACCCGACTTCATTCGGGGCTCCTTTGGGTGATTCGCAGATGCAACACCGCAGGCCGGTTTGCGTCAGAAAGCGATACCGTGGTACGTAGCTACATGCCTGGATGAATGCCTTGGTACAAATCGCAATGGCACCGGCCCACAATTTGGCTCATATCTCAGACAACGCTGGCGACACTAGGTGAAATCTTTGATAGCCCATTATAAACAACGTGATGGTCATTCTTGTCAATATCGAGTCATTTTAGTCATTTATGCGGCTGGTACATGCCGTGGTACAATGCCATCCCCCTTTTCTGTGGGTCACAAAAGCCCAAAACCGTTCTACGGTATGGTAAGCCACTAGTGTGCCACAGGTTATCATAGGCCGGAAATCATAGTAGCTAACACTGCGTGTGCGACAGGCGAGGGAGAAGTTGTTATTGGAGAAAAATCAACTGGCAACGTCATGCAGTTCAATTTCTAGATGGACATAGTTGCTCATTACCCAGCGCACCCTTGAAGAGATGTGACATTGGGCGCCTCAGTCATCTAGCTTCATTTCTTTGAATTTCGCAGCATGGGACGAAGATCACAAGGGGGCATGTGGTCTCTTGTAAAAGACTGTTGCAACAACGGTTTCAGTTTGTGTGTGCCTGAGGTGGCAATGCATGGTGTACAACACAACACAATTAGGGTGGCCCTATTGGCAATGCCCCCTTTAGATCTTGCGTCGTTTGTCAGTTGATAAACGACTTCTCAAGGGGATGCGTTGCCTCTCTTGCAACATACATGCAGCAGCGTATGTATGCAGACATGTCTATTGTGCATGGGCTTGTCAACGAGCCGTAAATAGGTGTAAATATGGCCGTAAAAATGGTCGTTTCTCCATTTCCACGTTTTTGAGAGTAAAAACGTAAACGCGAAAAGGGAGCCGTAAACGTAAAGAACAAACCTGTTTCTTCGTAAGCGACATGAGCACAACGGGAACAAAATCAGAACATAGCATCTAAAGAGACATCAATCTTTCGTAAATTCGGCAGGCTTTGATATAATGTTAATGGGGGTTGATGCAAGGGGTTGTTGAAACAATGATCGCCGACACTGGTGAGCTACACTTGAAGCAATGGATCTGCAACGTCCGTGTTTTCCAACCCTCCAACAAGGTGTCTTGATGCAGGATTGCGAGCAAACAATTTTGCAGTTATGTTGCACCAACGATCCAGTTTGCCAGCCCTCAGATATATCCGAATATTTGGTAGGCTTTGATGCACCACCGATAGGCCTTCGGATCAAGGCTGACCGCTTATAATCTAAAGGTACCTTTAGAATGTAAAGTTTAGATCTCGTGTCTGTAGAGCGGTGTTGAAGCAAGGACCTATCAATATTGCATCAATGTCTGTCAAATTTCCGTATAATGGTGTAAAAATGGATCCGGGCCAACAGGCTAGCATGGACCAGGGACCACTGCTTTTGAACTGTGGACCATTGATGTTGGTGAGCTCCCTGATTGGTGATGACGTGCAGGTGATATGAGGATAAGGTTCCATACTGTCGTCAAAGCTGGTGTTAGTCAGGCCTGTAATCAACGACCAAGTTTTGTGGCCCAACAATATTTGCAATTTATTTGCCCTAGTTACGAGTGAAATACACAATAGCCAATAATCAAAATCGATATTACGCATGAATGCATCGGGCCGACCGCTGCTCACTAATGTAGCCATGTACATGTTGCCTATTCGCTGCTCCCTTAAGCACCTCGTCCATATCGTCCACGCAAATCGCGACGGCGCCGCCGAACACATCGTCATCACCTACCACTATTGAGCAGAGCAGAGCCACTGATGCCAGCTATCATCGCATCGCTGAAGCTAGGTGGAAAATTCAGCGCTCCTCAACACCGCCCGAACAAACACAGAAGGAAGTCGCATTGGCAGCAGGTGGCATGCAGGGCTTTGTTATTCGAAAAGTGCTTTGTGCTTGGCTCGAATTATCTTTTGGACATCAAGATATGCGAGGCTTCCAGATTGCCACGGATGGCCAATTAAATGCACAGCGATTCTGAGATGTAAGCCCAAATGGGATTGGCTTTCTCATCACTACACGGATGTGCGCGTTATATGCCGAAATTATGTAATTGTGGGTAAATCGTGCTCCGAAAATATAGTAATTCTTCTTCGAAAGGCCCCAACATGGTATTTGTACTACTCTCGGTCCCGCGAACGACTCACAGGAGGGCAAATGGCACTTCGAGAGAACAGGTGCCCAGCAAACGACCAATGCATGTGATGTTGTGAGCTATATGACGGAGTACGATCCTGGTGCACGTATCTTACAGGAGAGGCAGCGCAGCCCTTCAAAAGCCTATCGTCGTTTATCAATTGATGAACAACACGAGAGCCTCCAGCGGCAACGTTGCCCAAAGGGACCATCCCAGCCTGTAATAACGTCCATCATGCCTTCCCACCCCACACACAAAACTGTAAACATCGTTGCAACAGATCTTTGCCAAAGACCTACAGATCCCTCGCGGTCCTGCTTCATGTCGCAAAATACAAGGAAATGCGTTCCTCGGCAAGCCTGGTGACTGAGACGCCCGATGTCTCTCCTATTGAAGTCGTGTATTGGGCGGTGAGCATCTATATCCCGACTCGGAGTTAAGCTCCTTGCCACTGCTGGTGACCGTGTCTCCAATGACAAATCCTTCCTCGCCCACCATAAGATCTGTGGCTGATCTCCAGCTGTCTGGGACCGCAGAATTACGCAATTCTCATTGAATGCTTTGTTTCCACCATGTTGTTTTAATATACAGACAACAGTGTGCTGTAAAAAGGGAACCAGTGGTTAGAAGTCCTGCTTCACATATCCAAACATCGGAGGTACCTTTCCTAGGCTTGTAAGATACAGTCACGGCTAAATGCGCAACACGGGAAGATCCGTGTATTGATCAGTCCATTTTTTTCGTTTTTTGCGCGGCACCTGACGTTAGAGCGTGGTTGGCGGTAATATATGTACATCCTGATTGCGTGCCCGCAGGCTTGATTTTCACGACGTGAATAGGGTGCGCCCACGCGTATTTACGCAAAATACAGTGTTTAGATTTGTACCCGTGCACTATATATGCCGCTGGGCCCATTTAGAACGGAGGCTTGCACAGACGGCAACAATTCGGTTTCGGGCGAAATTGCCCCTGCCCCTTGGGGCCCGTTCGCCTTGCTGTGAGTGGTATTCGTACCATACTTTGGACTTACGCATAAGTACGCTTATCCGCGGAATTGCACGCCGCTACAGAAATCACCCAAATGCGCACAATTCTGTGTGTTACGTGAAAGATTGCGCCATTTGAGCCTGCGTCCCGGGCCGGCTTTGCATTTCAACGACTGCCTGCCTCCCTCAGCTCACCTTTACGTAAAAGTGTCACATATGTGTTGAAGGGGATATGCGAGGCAAACAAATTTGACAGTATATACCGTTGAATGACAACAGGCTTGTTATTTACGTTTACGTTTACATTTTTCCGTTCGCGTTTTCACGCGCAAAAAAGCAAATTTGCAAAAGGGGCTATTTTAAGGCTGTATTTACATTTTTGCGGCTCGTTGCAACACCGAGGTAGCACCATAAAAATCGCGCACAATGATCAGTTCTCCTGCTCCTCGAGCACACGCAACGCAGCGTCGACTTCACAATCGGTAAGGGCCACGACGGCGTGGAACAAAAGCTCGTTTTCTGCCATTACAGCGCGACTGGCTGCTACTCCCCGGACACCCAAAGGCTGTATGTACTGCTCTTATGTACAAGGGCCGTAGTTACGTTGTATTTACGTATTTTTACCCGTTTTTACGCGTAAAAACGTAAGAACTACTTTTATGTGTAAAAACGTAAATACTATTTGTGTTTACGACGTAAATAGCAAGCCTGAATGACAAGCCCTGCATGCCACCTTCTACAGGTACGACTTTCTTCTGGACTCGTTCTAGCAATGGCAAAGAGTGCTGATATTTCCACCTCACTGCAGCCATGTGGTGCCGGCTGGCGTCGGTGGAACTGATCCGCTCTCGAGTGATAGATGATGGGGGTTTGTTCGACAGCGCCTTTGCGGCCCTTTGCGAGGGCGAGATGGACGCAGAGCTGGAGGCAGTTAGGGGGGCGGTGATTAGGCAGTACGGGACATGGCTGCGTTGCTGACCAGTAGTTGGCCCAATTATTCATGCGTGACTACGATTGTAATGATAGGTTTCAGAAGCCCACAATGAGCTCTGCATATTTATGGAATCTGCAGTTTTGCTCGTAATTGGGGACATTTAAGTTGCCGCTATTGCTGCGCCGTAAAATGTTGTCGTAAATAATTTGCCTGAGTAGTACCGGCTTTGACGACATTATTGTACCTGATCCTCATATCATCTTCACGTTGTCACGCATGGACAAGCGCATCAACACCCGTGCCCCCCAGTTCCAAAAGCAATGGTCCCTGGACCGTGCCAGCCTGTCCACCCACATCAACTTTTACAGCACTGATGGCCCTTTAGATGCTCTGTTCAGATTTTGTTCCCGTTGTACTCATGTTGCTGATTGGGGGCCTTGTCCACGAGATCACAAACAGTGAAGCATTGCTCGGTCAGTGCTGGAACAGGCCCTTTGCTGATGCCACTCCGCAGGGCGCTCGCTGTGCCAGCTCCGCCAGCAGCACAGGGATTGATCCTATGATCGGCTTTACGTTGTCACGCATCAGGTGGCATGCATGCGTATCTCAATGATGTACACCTCAACTGTCGTGGCCCATATCATCAAAAGCAGTGGCCTCATGCCTCAGCGGGCCTGGCGCAGTGCCCCAAACGGGATCTGACCCCCTTAGTCATGCACTGTTCGGGTATTGTTCGCGCTGTACAGCTGCTTGAGCGTCTACATGACCGGAAGGACCAGAGGCTTTTTGACGCCCAGCATGCTCCAAGTCGGGAGAGCCCCCAACCAGGCTGCGGCTGCGGGCAACATGGCAACTGTCCGGCCCCTTCCGCGCGCTGTTCCCAGGTGCGTTGACGCGTCCCGTCCACCCTACAGGCCTGACCCTAGGGTCGATGGCCATCGAGTCGATAGTATCGATCCCGCACTCCACAGATACACCACACCGCCCCATTGCCAAAGAGAGCATTGCCGCGCCCATTTGCGTGTTTGTCTAGTTGTGGAGCGGGCGCAAAAGCCTCTTCGCATTGCTTTCGAAGCCAGGCACGGCGTCGCAGCGCGCTCACCTTGACATCAAGAGCGATTCGGGCAGTGCATGCAGCGTGCCGCCACAGGTTGTCCGTGGTGCGAAGGTGCAAAAACACGCGTGTAGGTGGCACCCTCCGAGCGTTGCAGGAGAGGCCCATTGGCGGGGATGCCGTCGCTGCACGCTGGCTCCAGTGGCAGCCCCTCCAGCATGGGTGACTCCAGTTGGTTCGAAGCTACCGGAAAAAGGAACTCCGTTTCGGCCGCGCCCCTGGGAGCCGTATGCAGACGACATGGTGCCCCAGAGAGTTTCAACCGCCGGCAGTCGCAATGCGACACCAACTGGCTTGTGTCTGTGCAGGCCAGGGCAGTGGATGGTCCCTATCCACGGGCGCAAGTGCGCCCCAAGGGCCGCGGCGACCACGGTCGAGAGCGGCGCGCCGCCCGTCGTCAGGCCCGGCCCAGCCCAGCTTCCCGTGGAGGGCAGCCGCCTCGCCCGCAGCTGGTCCAACCTGGAATTCCTGGTCGTCAAGGTCACCCGCCGCTGCAACCTGAGCTGCTCCTACTGCTACGAAGACATCGGCAGCGGGTCGGACATGACGCTGGACACCTTCATGCGGATGGCGGACGCGGCGTTCGACTCGACGGACCGCGACCGCGTGGGGTTCCTGTTCCACGGCGGGGAGCCCACGCTGCTGGACGTCGGCTGGTACAGGGCGGCGATGGACTACGCCGACGGCGTCGCGAGGGGGGCGGGCAAGACGGCGGAGTATACCATTCAGAGCAACCTGGTCCGGCTGGATCAGCCCTTTCTGGACTTGTTCCTGGAGCGCGGCGTGTCGATAGGGGTGAGCATGGACGGGCCGCCCGAGATGAACGACGACTCCCGGGGCGCCGGAAGCGCGGTGGTTCGAAACTTCATGCGGGCAAAGTCGGCGGGCCTGCAGGTGAGCGTGCTGGCGACCATCAATCACAGCAATTGGAATCGCATGCCGGAGGTCATACACTGGCTGCGGACCGACCTGGGCGAACGGCGGTTCAAGGCGAACGTGGCGTACCCCGTGGGGGCAGGCCTGGACGCGCAGCCGCTGACGGGCGAGCAGATCTTCAAGGCGCGCAAGGACATCTTGGACCACATGCTGGAGACGGGCGGGAACGGCGTGATCGAGGCCAACCTTGAGAGGGAGCTGATCAAGTTTGCGGACAAGCGCGGCTGCGGGAAGTCGCTGTGCGACGGGCAGCTGTGCGGGGCCGGCTCGCGCGTGCTGGGCGTGACGCCGGAGGGCAACCTGCTGCCGTGCGGCAGGTTCGAGTGGAACGACCGGGCTTGGAGCCTCGGCAACATCGGCCAGACGGACGAGGACGCGTTTCGGTCTCGCGGGGAGCAGCTGCGAAGGTTCTGGGGCGCGTCGGATTACAATTGGGCGGACTGCGGCACGTGCAGGGCGCGCCACATGTGCAGCTACAGCTGCCAGGCCTTCGTGGTGCGCTCAAAGAGGCAGCTCAACATCGAGTGCGCCCCCACCTTGAGCCTCTACGACTACCTCGTTGAGCAGCCCCAGGGGAGGGTGGAGGCGCTCGTGGCCACGCTCAAACTGCACAGTGCAATGGGCACCGCAGAATACAGGGATGGAGGGAGTTCATACAATGACTACGGGTACAATGACAAGGGCTACAACGACGCTGGGTACACGGATCGGTAGATCCTGCCCGCGAGTCAAGCACGCCACACGCAGTCTTCTCCCGCTTGTCTTGAGAGTCAGCAGCAGAGGATTCACAGGACCAGCACACAGGAAATGATTGACACGATTGTTCGGCTTGAATCTACACAGCTTTTTCACTTTGGCATGTAGGCTTCATTCCATCCTGGCTGTCATGTATTTCCACGCCCATTTGATTGTTGCATTTCAGAATGACATGGGCTTGTACAGTAGGTATTGGGGTTCCAGTGGTTCACGGTTGCAACTGGGATGCCACGGTTTGTTTCTCCCATATGGGGCGGCTCAACAGACTTCATTGATGTATGTGGTGATTCCAGCATTGCGGCGCTTATCGTCGTTGTTGGGAGTGATGCAAAGCGTACATTGTTCTGTGTTGGTTGCACGTTGAAACCAGTCGTTCGCTGTGTGCATTCCTGGGTGCGCTTGACTGGGGTTGAAATGCGGCCCCTGAGTCTGTGTTTTCGAATGGCCTCCTTTTGGCAAATTTGTGGCGTGCTCGTTGTACTTGTGGGTAAGCGCATACCGCTTTCCATCTGTCTAATTAGACAATAATTTTGCATTCCCATCATAATGAGACTGCAGAATTATATTGTTCTCGTTGGATGGTTTGTTTCCACAGTGTGTCCTGCGTATATGGACTATGTGATTTGCAGTAACATGGCCATCTAAAGCGGATGAGCTGCCAATCTCTGGTGTACACGTGTAAGGCGGGCACAGCTTGTCATCCGATGTTACCTTAAACACTTCCTAGACTGCGGTGTGTTTCAGCAGCGGTTTTAGTTGGCAGCTGCTCCATATATTCAACGGCACATTTGCAAATGTGCGTAAGAGCGCCAGTTAACTGCGTCGGATCACATAACAATTGAATTTCCAGCATCATGAAATGTGCGATATTTGGATGGCCGATCGGCCAGTGGCATACTAATGTTACATGTTGGTACTGCAATTGTGGCACAATGCCACTCGGCTGAGGGCACTTGCGAACTCCGCGGCATCAGCCAACAAGAATCCATTGACAGGTAGAGGTCCACGGTCGCCGTCTCCCAAATCGATAGAATTCAGCGAGCGCTTGAGATAGCTTTGGTGCGTGCCGGCTGCCTGCCCGAGCCAACAGATCGCGTACCAGGCTGCCCACGATCCAGGAAACATTGGAGTGTCCTCAGTGAGGGCAAGATTCTGAGTGTGGTGCGCAAGCTGCTTTTTCGCCATTGCAATGACACACCGAACAGTGATGTCGTCCACGACTAATTGGGAACCATCCGCGTGCAAAACGTTCCCTCGTAAAGTTGCATGAAGGTCCAGAATGGAAGCACGGATGTCACCCGCGTTTATTAGTCTCTTGAATGAGTTGAGCCATTTCCTGTTCCCCTTCCTTCAATCCTGCGACTTTTCTTAGGCCGGCCTTCATGCACCGCGTGCGATCTGTGCCGTTTCTTGCGGTTCCTGTTGGTCGCCAGTCCGCAGCCCCATCAGGGCGACAGAGCGACCGGAGAGACAGAAATAGCCACGTCAGAGGCAGCTCCATGTCAATTGCGGAAAATGCTTGGGTCGCTGGTTGGTCGTGGGAGAATTGATTCTCCCACACAAGAATACTGAAAAGATGCCACAAAAGAATATTCTCAAATAGATACCACACAAGAATACTCTTGTTATCAACGTCGCATTGACACATCCCGGGTGACCGACAAAGCGCGATATGCTGGATTCGTTAATTAACGAATTAGCAGCTGCCGCTGTCATCATTTCAACTAATTCTGCCATTTAGAATAGTTAAGCCATTGTCGATACCGGGGTGCTCGACACCAACAGCTTGCACAATACAGCGGCGCACACCCTTGAATAGCGTGCACAGCCTTTCCTGAAACTCGGCGGTGCTTCTATAGTTTAATCTGCTTCCGTTGGGCTAGAGCGTCCTTTCGCTCCAGGTGTCTGCACTGCATGCAGACTCTGCAGCAACTGCGGAAGCTGAGCATGTGCCCCTTTTCCTAGCTTCCATATCTGCTGCATTATTTCTAGCGCCGTGCTCGATATTTGGACAACAGTTTATCCAAGTTGGACGTTGAGCGGTGCGCTGCACAATGGCCGGACCATGCAACTGCCCTTCGGCAGAAGAGGAATCACTTTGGCAAATGGAGCAAAATGCAGCACAGAATTTTCGAGCAATTCGCAAATTTTCTGGCCCAACTCCTGATCTGTGTTCACCGCGTCGATGCAGGAACCGGCAATGCAGCAGTACTTTGGTGCCCGACGGTTTGGCCCACCGGCATTTGTGACGGGTGGGATCATCGAGGCCGTGGCTCATCTCCCAACGCTGACCATCCATATCTTTGTGCCTCTGAGTCGCGGCGGACTGTTTCTGAAATTGGTCGTCGAGTAGCATTGGACCAGGCCCCAATTGCCATCGATCTTCCATGTCAACCGCCTGCGGTCACGGCCACATTGCGAGTTGTGTCCCAGCCCCGACTGCGACGCGGTCGCTGCCATGCCAACGCCTGTATCGAAAATGCGGCCCGCAGCTGACCAGCACAATGTTGAAAATTGTGAAGCAGCGGCGTTCCACGCTTTTCTGAACGTAATCTCATCCACCGCTCGGCTTCGCCAGTTCGCGTTCATCAAACGCTTCGCCTTTCTGTGCACATCGGCGTGGGTCATTTCTGATCCTTTGTTTTGCGTTGCGGGATTGAAGACTGTTGGATAGTGCGTGGGCTGTGCAGACACATGCATGTGCATGTGGTTGGCGTGTAGGCCGATGCTGCGCGGGAAATGGCATGGCACAGTGGTGTCCCGCAACCTGCCCAACCACCACCGCCTTGTAAGTGTCTCAGTTGGACAAGTGCGATTCAACGATTTTTGCACCGGCTGCTCAGACGGCACAAACACCTCACCGAGGTTGACGTCTCCAGCTGCGGGCGCGACCTGCTCCCTGGCTCCGACTGACGTCTCTTCTTTGCGCGCCCACTGGAAGAACCACGCCGATGGCACAGCACCACTTTGGACCGAAGTCTGGGACAAGGTCGCCTTGGGCCCGTACCCCCGCTGAGCCGCACGTGGGGGCGTCTGCTGCCACCCAAATCGGGAGTCTTCTTATGGCAGTGCTCGCCAACAATTTTTGAATTCACTTCTTCAGTGTCGCGGCGCTTCGACCTCCTGGTTTGCAGCACTGAGCCATTGGCTGCAGCGGAAACACCTCTGGAATTTGCCTGGGGCTGAAACCGCGTCCCGCTGGAGCTGTGCACTGTGTTTACTGAGGGTGTGAGGCTCTTGGACCGCTCATTGGTCGCGGGTGTTGTTATCTTGTCCACATGTCCTGTGCGGTTTGCAGCATTGTCAGGGAAGGGAACTGGAGGGCATCTGCACTCCAGGTGTTTGCCTTCAATTGTTGACATGTGCTGAGGCCCACGCTTCATTGGTGGTTCCAGGCTCCATGCTTTTCTTTTGTTCAGGAATGTGTCGTGGCCGTACAATTGTTGATGGCATGATGCCAGTCCATTGTGAGTGTGGCTGTCCCTGGGCAGCATAGGATCCAACCATCCAGGCTCTCGATTGAAATATCTGTTTGGATCATCCATACCTCGTGAAAGTGGATGGTCGCAGGCGTACCTGCAACCAGACCACCAGGCATGCAACAATGCACTGGGTGCCTGGTGCTGGCGGCTGGGGGCCGTCCAGTATTCACTCTGGTAAAACCTCCAGTTATAGTATGGGAGGCCCCCACCTGGCTCCCTGCACATTGGATTTGGCCATGAAGCACCCCTGCTAGCTCCTGGCGGCCAACCCCTTGGTCCGTTGCACGAAAGGGGCCTTGGGATGCAACGTGTGGGCCTCTTCCTGGCCATCCTCTCGCTGTGCTCCTTCTTAAGGGTCTCCCACTGTTGCTCAGACACTGGCGCGCCATCCCCAAACACTTTCTTCAGCAACCCTGGCGGTGCAATGGGCAGGAGCTCGTGTATGAAGGGCAGCATTAATCCAAAATCGTCCTCTTGCGACGTTGTTCCCAGCCATGGGGCGGAGCCCTTCGCGCAGCACTTATCCAAGGTGTTGCCCGGAGACAACTCATTCTCTGCTCTGACTGGTTTGTGCACCTCCACTGGCCACTCGCCGTGGGAGCGCCTCCCCGAAGGACCTCCCCATCGCGGGCCGCTCTTCACCTCTCCGCGAGGCTGCCGCCGACCAGCGGCCCCTGAGGAGACAATCCCATCTTTCGCATTCAATTGCCCCCTCCCCCCTTCGTTTTTCATCGAAGTGAGTGCCCCGCCCTCCCCTTTCCCAGCGGTCGGCCCACTCCCGATGCCGCTCTCCCCGGCCCGCGACAAAACACCCCCGTATCCCGCCGCCTGCGCTCTCGCGCAGCTCCTCCGCGCCGCCCCTTCTCCACGCGACCCCAATTCCTCAGCCGATTTCGACGACCCGCGGTGCGTTTCCGCCCCTCCGGCCCGCCGGACGTCGCCAGCCGCCTTCCCCGGCGATCGCCCTCCCTCCCCCTGCGCCTCAAACGGCCGCGGACCCAGCAGCAAATCATCCAGATCCTTCTTTACAACTTGCAGCTTCTCCTCCGCATCGCCCTTCCCCTCAACAGCCACCCCAGCAGCCGTGCCCGTGGCCCTTTTGGCCACGATGCTGGGCGGCTTCACGCGAGGGCTGCGCTTGGCGATCACCGACTTGCACTTCTGTATCACCGCGCCCGGCCGCGTATACCGCTCCCCCGTGCTGGGGTCGTACAGCTCCAGCACCACCGTGCGGTCCCTGTGCACGCCCGTCTTGCGCTCCACCAGGTACTTGAGCTCGCCCGCGGTGATGAACTCTCCGTCGAATCGCACGACGTCCATGTCGGTGGAGCAGGCGAAGCGGAAGTAAACGTAGGAGGCCATGCCGGCGGCGCCCAGCCGCGAGCGCTGGCCGCCGGGCTCAGGCGCGGTCGGGCGACCGAATCCAGCCTCCACACCCGTCCAATGCAGTTTCTACTGGTCTTTGCGGGAGCGCACTGGTGCCCTGAGAGCTATCCAGTTAGGCTCCAAATTAGGGCAGTGTGAAGCCAATCAACTCCTTTTCGACATCGGAGTGCCAAAAGCATTCTGTGCTTCAGTTCCCGATCGCCAACTGGCGAAGACACTTCTTTTGATGTATCACCATCGACAAACGCTTCTTGGCAATAGGAGTTCATAGATTCCTCGACTCTGTTTGCGTTGTACACTTGATTTTAATGAACTGATCACAGGCACCGCTTTGCTCGGGCAAAATAGGAAGCTAACGGCTACCTCATTGCCTGGTTATGCAAAAATGATGATGATGATGTAGGCGTACGACCGGCAATGGTGCCCTAAAGATGCCCCTATGAAAACTGTTGCTGGAAAGCACCGCTGGTGCAATAGCACCCACCGATAAGGATGCTCTAACAGCTATCCAGATGGCCCTCAATTAGGTCACAGTGAATGCGTTGCGAAATGTCGCTTCCCTTTTGTGGTGATGGTGTGCAGCCGACTGGGCCTGAGTCAACATTGGACAACAAAGGTGTTGAGTGACGCGTTTCTTTATTCAAGACCAAAATGAAGCAATTGTTTTCACTTCGAGGCACAATTGCCACTTGGGCCCAATTTCGACGTGAGTCTTTGAAAAATGCAGGAGACAATCAGTGACAATTTGTTTAAGTTTTCCAGCCGCACTTGATAGCAAAGATTGGCTGATTCCAGAAAGAAGATATATGTGGAGCAGGATTTCGAAATTACTGGCTGGAAGAAATTAACCTGTTAATATTATGTTCGTTCCACTATTGGGAGGCCAAAGTACTGTAAAATTAATCAATGCATCATGGCTTACAATGTCGACCTTGATAGGGCAATTTGAAGGCATTGGCTGAGTTTCCAAAACATCACTGATGCATTACAGGAAGTGCGTTGCCCTCATCTTAACCAACACTTTCATCAGGCAGTGCGACTTTGTTATGTTTTTGAACTTTGCGGCATTTCAAATGGGATTCTGTGCATGTGGCCAATCACAGGCATGGACAGTCATGTGAAATCTTTTGCATTCGAACATTGCCTGCAGTGTTGCTACTGAGCATTGACTCCGAACAGCAGCTTCTTCGAGGTGTGATTCGAAGAGGGGATTGAAGTTGTTTGTCTGTTTCATACCGAATTTCTCAACACCACTTGGTACACATCGTAAGAAATGATGCCATGGGGCGCGTATGCTGTGGGGTGCACATGGACGATGCTTTGGACAGTCCCCTTGCCTTGGAAGCAAACTGCGAAATCAGGAACATGGCATCGGGAACACAAGGTTGGAGCAGAAACAAGGAGCTGTTAGGTGGTTTACCACACTGAGGCAAGATCAAACCAATCGACGACATCTTCGATCATACAGGAATCCGTTCTGATGCAATTCAAATCACCCTTTGATGGAGAGTCGTTTCTTGGCTTATCGGTTTTGGAAGGGCAATCCATCCGCAGTCACAGTCAAGGGGTTCCATCGCATGCTGCTTTGCCCAGAATAGTTAGGGTTGGGTAGAAAGTAACGATGGAGTGCCATTTGCGTGATGCCACGTAAAATAGTTTGCGGCATCGACTCAGAGTCGACGACGTCCGAACATTGTATACGCAGACTGCCAGAGAATCACGGACGACACAAACCTTCCGCGCGGCATGGTAGTGTCCTCAGTCGTTACCACTTTCACTGTTGGATATGTAACTACAGAAAGAAACCACAGGATCAATAGCTTTGCCTGCATTTTACCGTTCGCACCAAGCGCAGCAGTTCAGAAATGCATTCTGCACGGCTGGTGGCAAGCAGTGCCATCACTTGCCCAGCCTCCCTCAAAGATCCAACACGCAACAATCAGAGGCTGTGTCGAGTATCAACAAGCGTGGTTCAAGGCTCTTAAACTCGGTGACCCATCGGGAAAGCCGGATGTGTGCCTGAAGCAGGATGGCAGCGATGCACGGCACAGATCTGCGCCGCAACCCGAAAATGGGGAATGCAACGAAATGGGCAGCAAAAATGGGCACGCGCTGCACCCTTTTTGTTGCCCACTTCGTTCTGTTCCCCATTTGCTGCACCCGAGCTGCCGCGTCCTCGCGGCATCGTGTTGGGTCACAGCGAAATTTGCTGCGACTTTGCCGGGCAGGTTTGAGCCCGTTGTCCCCACCCCTATGCTCACCCACGCCCCAAGGGCGAGCCCCTCCACAGCCGCAACTCGCCCCTTCACTCGCAGGCGATCTCCAGCGCGGGTCCCCACCCCCCTCCCGCCAGAAACCAAGTTTCTGGCAATCCCATGGTCATGAGACCCCAGTACATTAGCACGCACAGTACTGCGGAAAGCCCTGGACCCCCCACGCCTCGACACCTGAACAAATTTGGGGTTCTTGTGCGCCCGTCGACATAGTGCCGCACTTGGCGCTTTTGCAAAGGGCAGTGGCGACAGTTGCCGACTTCGGCTGAGAATTCCACGCCTTGAAGCCCTGCGCCTTGTCTTGCACGACCCGTTTTCCACGGGCCTACTGGCCGGCCCGCCCGCGGGACAAACCCCGTCGCCGGATTGCCGCTGCCTGGGCGACCAGCGGCGATGTCATTCACGGAGGAACACTGCCGCCGGCTGCGGGCGCTGGTGCAGGACTGCTTGGCGAAACACCTCTACACTTCCGCCGTGTTCTACGCTGACAAACTGGTCACGCTCTCTGGATCGGACCCAAGCGACGTGTACATGCTCGCCCAGGTGCTCACCATTTGGGACCATTCAGCACAGTTCCGGCCCTTGACCGTGGCATCGCATCCAGCGAATTTACGAAGCCAGAACTTCGAAAACAAAGGCGGAAATTTCCCATTTGTTGGCCCAGAAGGGAACAACCTGTTGTCTCACAACCCTGCAGAATTCTGCTGTTACTTTGTTGATTACAACAAGCAACCTGCGCAGATGATGGAGCCACTGCGGGGATTTGTTTTCCATGCAAGCCTTGCTGGGGGACGTGTAATATATTGTGTGTCGTGGAGCAAATCCACTGGAAGATGAATTCGAGTTGGTGCCATGTGAATTGTGGATTGCTGAGGCGGGCAACAGCGTTGGCACAGGTGCCCTTCATTTATAGCAAGCGCCTCAAGACTGTGAATTCCAGTGACTGTGTTCAGGGGAGGATCACACGTGTTTATGTATTTCCTTTGCAGGCCTATTTTGTTAGCAAGCAATTCAGGAGGGCCATCGTTTTGCTGAAAGCCGAAAGTCTGCTGGAAAAAGACCAGCGATTCAGGTACCTTGCAGCACGCTGCCTAGCAGAGTCCAAGGAGTGGGATGAGTGCCTTCAGGTTTTGGGAGATGGCGAAGTGGACGAGTATGTGGAGTCCAGTCGGCAGGTAATGGAAAATTGGAAATTCCTGCGTATTTTGAATGCACTTCCCGGACTTGGAAACGAGTGACCGGTTTACTCCTGGTTCTATTTGCCACAATAGCCTAACCTGGGTTTAGAATTCATTTCCAGACTTCTCGTCAGGAGCATGTGTGCTTGAAATTCTCCAGATGTGTTCTGTGGCTCAAGATAGACGGTGTGACCATATAAGCTTGTCAAAGAGCACCACTTATGGGGTGCCCAGCTGCTCATGCCAAGTAGTACAGTGGATTGCTTCACAGCAAACTTGACCTGTAATACTAGCCCATGATGTGCCACTTTGGCGCTGCTGTCCATGCTGCCATCCTGCATGTCTTGTTGTGGTTATTGTTGTTGGTCAGCTTTCGTGGAGTGTTGAGACCAGAAAGTGCTGTGTCTTTGTCCTTTGTACATATCCAAATAAATTCTCAAACCATGAATCCATCCCTGAAATTGGCCAACTTTGTCCATCTGAAATCCTGACTATTTGTCTTGTCCAGGAACCAACATCCCCGGGGTGTGAGGTCAGCCTGTATTCTGCGATCTGCCTCTTGCGTGGTCGAGTTTTTGAGGCTCTGGAGAATGCCCCACGTGCGATCAAATGGTATCAGACAGCACTGAAGCACGACCCATTCTGTTATGAGGCGTTCCAGGCCTTGGTTGAGAGGCACCTGCTCAGTAACAAAGATGAACAGAAACTCGTGCTGTCACTGAAATTCAGCGAAGCTGACAGCTGGCTGCAACTGCTGTATTCGTGCAAATGCAAAAAGGTATGCTGGCAACAGCACAGTTGGCATTCTTCTTGTACCTCTTGGTTGTCCTGGCAAGCTGCAACAACCGACATTGGTTCGCCAATTGGCATGCGTATCAGTCCTTGAACATGTGGACTGGCAATTTAGTGCATTGTGTGATCTGTGCATTACCTCCCCTGCAGCATGCTTTGCAGTGGGCGTGGGTGTGTGCCTGCACTCATTTGCTATTTACTGTGGTGGCAACGCCGTTGCCTTGAAGACGATGGTGCATTCTGACAGGAATTGTAACAGTTGCCATCCTAGGAGAGCTGTGTCCACCGGCGAACTGCTCTTCTTAACATTAATGGAAGTGGACGCTGGAGCCTGGGCACCAGCAGGGTGATAAGCTGGATTCCCACAGCAGTTCTTGTTCCTTAAATGGGAATGAACATCCCCAGCAGCCTAAGGTACAGGAGACTAGTTGTGAGCAACAACCACAATCTCACTCCGGATGATCTCTGTTTGCTGAGCAGTACGACCAGACTGACAGCTTTGAAGCCAAGCTTGAGGACCTGGAGAGGAACCCACACAGTGAGTCCATGATACCATCCTCTCCATCCCCGTTGCAGCCCAGTGCAAGGATGAATGAAATCGCCCAAGGGGAGCACAGGCAGGTCAACCCCAGCGTTCCCGAAGCTGTTGACCTTGATCTGGACATTGTGGAGGCTACCCCTGGCTGGGGTCTGACAGAGAACGTGGACGTGCTGACCTGCAAAGCAGAATGGCTGTACTACAGGTGAGCAGGCCAGATTGTGCGATTATTTTAAATACATCTGCCCAAATCCCATTGTTGACTCCTGATGTTTGTTGTCCACGCTCATTCAGAAAGTCTGGAAATTTTGCTAATCTCTACGGATTGATCGGGACATGCTGTGCACCCAAAGGCTGTTTGTCCGCAGCAGATGTGTGTGTGTGTGGCAAGGAGCCTGAATGTGCGTGTTGATCCTTTTCTCACATTCGTCAAGTGCCCGAACAATGACCCTGCACCTTCAGGTCGATCGAGGGCATAATCTGGCCAAGTTACCTGCACCAGGAAATTTGCTCATCTGACATAGAAAATCCCAAAGGCAGAGCCTTTGTGAGTTGTATGAGAGCCAGCTGTTGCAGGTGAACAATCAGGTTGTGGATGCTATTGCGGGGTGCAGCTGAAGAAGAAGTGATAATTAGCGATTCAGGCACATGTTCTCGCCCAATCTGTCCAGTCGCCAGGGCAGCTCATGTGGTTTGCAGTGCCGTGGACCTTGAGCTACTGGCGTGCTGATGTTGCTTTGGTGATGTGCCGAATTGACAAAGGGGAGCCTATGATGAAGCCCACCAAATATCTCAAGAGGTGCTGGATCGCGACCCATACGCGAGCGACTGCATTCCCATCTATTTGGCTTCATGCCTGGAGCTGAACAAGAGGAACGAGCTGTTCCTAAGAGCACACAAGTTGACCAAAGAAAGCCCAGAGAGTGCTCTATCGTGGTATGCAATTGGTGTGTACTACATGTGCACCGAGCAGTTCGAGAACGCCCGCCGTTACTTCGGGCGGGCCAATTCCATAGACCGATGGTTTGCTCCTGCTTGGGTGGGATTTGGGAATGCATTTGCTGCGCAAGACGAAAGCGACCAGGTGAGCAGCCCATGCGCAGCTGTTCACATGATTTCTATGATGCCTTTTCTTGTTCTGAATTCTGCCAAGTTTTCATAACGAATCAATTCTGGCAGCGATTTCTAGAGAACAAGTGAATGCAGCGTTGCTTGCATTGTGGCAAAGATGCACTGGTCATGGCACGTGTCTGTTGAGCTCAGAAGAACGGGCAACATCAATTTTCTAGTGCTCAATATGGACCTCACAATGCTCGGCAAGAGAACGTTTCAAGCTTTACGATGCTTACGGAGCAGAATACCAGAACGCTTGCAGCTCGTTCTGCAGAGAATGTTCGCATGCCTCCAATGGCAATCACATCTGCAGCAATGGGGGAAAAGCCCAGTGCGTTGAATATTGCCCTATCTGAGCAGGCGAAATGTTGAGGCTGAGTTTCATGTGTGGACTAAATTCTGTTGCATAGGCCATGGCCGCCTACCGAACTGCCTACCGCTGCTTCCCTGGTCTTCATCTACCACTGATATACATGGGGATGGAGTACATGCGAATGAACAATCTGAACCTTGCTCAGCGAATGTTCATGAATGCCCTGGACCTGTGCCCCACCGACCCACTGGTGTGTAACGAGCTCGGAGTGTTTGCCTACCGGAGCGGGGACTACAGCGAGGCTGTGGCTTGGCTCCGCCGTGCCCAGGACCTTGTTCCAGGAGGAAGAGCAACGGCAGGTCAGAAATTGAGCGATGAACAAGTGTGCCCAAACAGCAGTTGATGGCACACTTGCTACGTCTGGCTCGTGGCTCTGCTCGCTCTTGGCAGAGAGAACAGAGGCTGCCAAATGCAGTACTTAGTATTAGCATGCATTCCCAGCCATGCATGCTGCACGGTGTGAGTCAGGCACTGCCGATTTTTTTGCCATCATCCTTTCTCAACAAACGAAGAGTTTTTTGACGCACGCATCTCTGGTGCTTGCTCCAATGCTGGCTGGGTATAGTTTGGTGTGCTGTCAGAAGGCACTGAGCTAAGTTGCCTGGAAGGCGAGCTGCTGCTTCTGTGTGCTCAGCCTCCCTTAACTATACTCCTGTGCTTTGTCATGGACCTGCGGTCCACAATCCCATGACGAACTAACCACGTTGTCCCAGCACAGATGAAAACGCCTCTGTGGCAGGCCTCAATGCGAGACGCCCTTCTGGTGAGCCTGAGCTTCCAGTAGCGCATCAATTCACTGGGTGAAGTACAGCAACCACGTTGCAGCTGGCCACCCTTTGCTCTGCGTGTCCCTTGCATCACATTGAAACTGAGAAAAAATCCTTGGCAGTGAGCTGCAAGTTTTGTGCCGCTGCAGCCTGGGAGCCGACTGTAGTGAATCTTGGGCATGCACTTCGGAAGCAGAGGCTATACGTGGATGCCGTGCGCCAATACGAGCTGGCCCTGAGCCTGTGCCCCAACCGGGCTAGTACGCTGGCGGCCTTGGGCTACACTCACCACCTCCGTTTCAACATTCAGTTGGCAATAGAGCATTATCACAAAGCTCTTGCCATTCGACCAGACGACACGTTCACCTCTGAACAGCTTCAGGTGGCACTGCAAGAAGACTGCTGCAAGCGGCCGGACGATGATGTTGTATTTTCTTAGCATAGGCAATTTGGCAAGGTGCTGACCATGCCCTCGGCGCACCCCCCACCCAACCCCAAAAGGGGCATGTTGTGATGACATTGTACGATACAGAGCTTTAAGAGCAGGTTCTCGCCTGCAGATGGCATACGTTGGTAGTGCACCGATGTGCCTTGTACATATTGGGGCATAACATGCGTTATTCTCCAACCCTGTGCTCAGGCTTGTCAGGAAAGCCATTGGACACAGATGGCCAACACACATGTGTCTTCGTGGTTTGCCACTGGCCCCAAAGCTATTGGCATTCACACAAACAGCTGATGATTGGCACAATGCGTCCAACTCCACCACTCTCACCCCACCCCCCACCCCCCACCCCCCACCCTTCACAACTGTTGGCCTACATAAATCCCTTGTGCCAGGCTGCCACACAACGGGAACATACGCCTCTAGAATGGGGCATTTCAAGTAGTCGTTCGTCAACATAAGGAAGGGCAAGCTAAATCATATCTCTGTTCGGCGAAATGCCCTCGTCACAGTACGAAGAAGGAATAGAGAATATGAACACTCTCTCCGATACCGCCCTCAGTGCTTTCGCTCGTGTTTGGTCAGAACCTTGAGCTTCCTGCCTACCCAGTAACTTTCAACCCTGCTGCAGGAACACACATCGACTGATGGCTAATCATCGAATTAATTAAGCGGAATAAGGCTGCAAGGCAACACTCTTTTTCGAACCTTTGGAGTGCACAAACGAATTGGATCCAACTTTGAGGGGGACCAGGTTCCATCTGTGATTTTGACCTTTGTTTGAGCACACAAGCGAGAACTTGCTGTGAGTGGCAGCGCCACTGGTACCAATCCTGTCCCTAACACACTGCCGCTAAACTGAACAACCACAGCCACCTTGCTGCAATCAAACACATTGAATAATGTGCGTTGCACGCAAAGCTACAGGAAGGGCTCACGGCTGAGATAGGCCTTGCATATGCACCATCCGTATTTCAACACTCTCAAACCTGTTGTAGAGGTGGCAAAATAACTTGCCAGTAGCCTTTGGCGCTGGACAGCAGCCAGGGAGCTCGCACCGTGCTTGAGTTTGTGCAGCCCTATAACTTCTTTGGCCTGGTCCGGGCAAAGGTGCTCCATCTAAACTGGCGTTTTATCATTCAGGTCATTTTCCACCTGCAAAAAGCATGAATTCCAGCGTCACCTTTGCTGCCACAAGGAAAAACACTGTTTCATCACAATATTCCCCTTCCCGTTTGTTTCCCTAAGTGCACTGCCCATTCACTTGCAATAAGACTGTTGGGGAGCATTCCAATCTCTTGTGTTCAATGTCCAAATCCTTTGTTCGACACAAAATGGCAGGCAAGGCAGGTGCAACCACCCGTTTCCAACACAGGCTGTGCAACTCGGCAGTCAGACCCATCAAAGACTCACCAAGAAATTGTGCACTTCCTGCACAAGTGGCGTCATGCAGTCCAGGAACAGCTTCATGCTTGGCTTCAAGTCGGCACCAGCGTCCAGCTTGCTGAAGAATGCTTCCCGGGAAGGCAGCCACGACATTGCAGCCTGCCAGAACAGGGCATCAAACCACTTGCATCAGCCAGCGCCACCTTTCCTGTCGGCCAAAACAATTGCCGCCACAAATGTAGAGAAAACGAGCCTGCTGAGCTGCTGGACAGTGATTTCCTGCAAAGCTGCGTACAGATGTGCGAGCTGCCTTGAACCCAAACATGCCCCACAGCCAAAGGGCATTGAGATCACCAGCAGGCGCAGCAGCATGTTCTGCACATTGGTGTCCGTCCGCTTCCTCACCGTGAATACCCCGTACGTGATCATGCCGTGGAAGGGCTGCAGCGTCGACGCGTAAGCCTCGTTCGCCGCCTGGGACATCGACTTCTCGTCGTCGTCGTGCAGCTGCCGCAGCAAGCCAAGGACAAACTCCATTGCCCTGAAAACGAGCAGCACTGATGTCACACACCGCCTCCACTCATTAATATTTTGCGGCGTGCCTTTCTCCTTCCAGAAAAGGGCAAAAAGGAAAGTGTGGAGCTGGACATTTCTGGTGTTGCAGAACCAGGAGCATGCCCCTCGTGTGCCGATGCCATGAGCGCACCTTTTGAGCCACAACAGCCCCTTGGCGCATGAATCTGACTGCTCATGTTTCCCAGCCGCCACCTCAGTGGTGACGATCTCAAACAGGCAGGCGTACCGAACGGCATCCTCCCGTGCGCGCCTGCCGAGGCGCTGCACACCACAGCGAAGCCTCGTCACTTCCCACACGCGGCTGCCAGACGCGCGGATCTCAGCGGAAGATCCTGGGCACGCCGTCGCACGCTAGTCGTCCCGGGTCCCGGACCTCGATGTTCCCACTGACGTCTTGCTTGACGGGGTAGAACGTGACCCCCAGTTTGTCGATTATGGGCAGCAGCAGGCGCGCCACGTTGAGAAACGGCTCAGTCTGTATCCGCCCGCTGGCGTCTTTGACGACGCCCACCAAGGCGATGGCGGTGCCCAGGGCGGACGCCATCCCAGATCGCTGCAACCCGTCGCGCCCTTACCTCCGGCGAGGAGTGGGCATTCGGCAACTGCGACACAGGGTACTTTAGCCCCCGCATATCTCCCCCCCCCACCGCATGTGGGTAGAGTTTTCTTCTGTGTATTGTTCTTGAGTGCATGTGGGGGTATGAGTGTATCTTAACAAATGACCGTTTAACCGTAAATTGTCTAGCTCCGTATCCTCTCGTCCTACTACGGGGCTGCTACCTTCCTGCGTCCGATTCCCTTTCAGTCATCCGCACGCTTCCCGTTCGCTTCTGTCTCGAGTAGCGTCCACTCACGTCCTAACGGTTTGCCAAATGCCCCGATCCGGGGGCGGGCCTCATGGTCCGCCCCCGCCCGGAACGGAGAGGGGCATATGCCTCGTGTTTCGATCGTCAACGGCCCTCTGGCATTCCTTAACGGTTGCGATTCCTGCTTTGGCGCTATACTTGAGCGCCTAGCCACGCATACCCTGATTTGCCATTTTCCTCCCGAGGGAGGCGAGAGGGCCGTTTCCAGGCATACCCCCAAGGACTGTGGGTGGGTGGGTCGCAAAATTCTCCCCGCTTCCTGCTAGCGTGGCTCGCTCTCCCCGCCGCCGTGCTTACCATCCTTTGCGCTTGCTTCCGCAGCAGGCTAGCGGCGACGGTCGCGCTAGGTTATGGCCCGCAGCGCTTGACGCGAGGAGCGATAGCTTCGGTCTCCGTGCTGTGCACTTTAACCCATCAGACGCGGTCCTGGCGCGTCCGCGCTCATTAACCTCAATTAATCATGTTAAGAATGCCGCTCGGTGTGAGTGTATCTTAACAAATGACCGTTTAACCGTAAATTGTCTAGCTCCGTATCCTCTCGTCCTACTACGGGGCTGCTACCTTCCTGCGTCCGATTCCCTTTCAGTCATCCGCACGCTTCCCGTTCGCTTCTGTCTCGAGTAGCGTCCACTCACGTCCTAACGGTTTGCCAAATGCCCCGATCCGGGGGCGGGCCTCATGGTCCGCCCCCGCCCGGAACGGAGAGGGGCATATGCCTCGTGTTTCGATCGTCAACGGCCCTCTGGCATTCCTTAACGGTTGCAATTCCTGCTTTAGCGCTATACTTGAGCGCCTAGCCACGCATACCCTGATTTGCCATTTTCCTCCCGAGGGAGGCGAGAGGGCCGTTTCCAGGCATACCCAACCGTTCGGCCCAATTGTGGGCTGCAAAGGCAAATGCCGTATGCGGACTGATTAAGAGTGTCCTACGGGTGTAGGAGGTGCAAGAGACCCGGGACGAAGTGCTCGGAGGGCCCGTCACGGCTGTCCGAGGGGAGGAATGGACGGTAATGGAGCTGAATAGGCAGTACCGAACAGCGCGAGAGGCGCATAGAGCGCGGGTGGAGCAAGTCGCGGAGAAGAGATTGCCTCAACGGAAACAACTGATCGAGCGAGAGTTCGTGAGTTGGTGGGCCCGGCAGCCGGCCGAGTGGCAAGTAGGCCCGCCCCAGCCGGAGGATGTCATCACCTTTCTGGAATGGTTCTCCCAGAAGCGGCAAGGGCGTGCACGAACCCACACCGAGAGTGGACAGAGGGTGTGGCATTTCAATACCATGGAAAAGGAAGTGAGCCACCTGAGTAGTTGGTTCCGCCGGAGCGGACGAGAGGGCGACTGGCGCAGCGAGGACGGGAGCGGGAATCCGTGTAAATCCGACTGTGTCCGAGCTTGGAAAAAAGCCTACCGGGCCGCGCAGCAGGTGCAAGGGGTAGGAGAAAGTAGTGCGGAGCCATTGCGTATAGAGTGGTATCGGCGGATGGTGAAAGCGTGCCAACAAGAGCTCACGAGGGAAGGCGACCCCGTGGTGAGGGGTCGTGTCATGCGTGACGCCGTGTTGCTGACCTTTTTGTGGGAAACCGGCCAGCGAGTGAAACCGCAATTGGGGCCGTACACGCGGGACATGATAGTGGATGAATGGGGCCGCCCGATATGGGCGGCGAGGACGGGGACGCGCCCTGTGGAAGGGGCAGTGTTATTAGACGTATGGTTGCTGAAGACCACGACCGAATTCCGGCCCGGACGGGTGGAGATAGACCGTCACCAGGAACTGGGGTTCCTGTACTGGTTCGACCGCATGGGAGACTGGCTCCGTCAGCATGGGCGCGGGGACGTGCAGGTACTGTTGCCCGCCTGGGATCAGCGACTCGGGCCCCAGAACCGGTCGGTAGAGGCGATGGAGGCTACCCGCATTATGCGGTATTGGGCCCAGCGGGTCGATGCGCCGGAAACGCTGACGTACTACAGCAGCAAACGAGGGAGCCTGCAGCATAGGCATCATGAGCTTGGGATGTCGATGGCCGACGTGGCCAGCCAGACACTGCTACGCTCAATAACCACCGTGGAGCGGTATGTGGACCGAGGGCGGCACTGGCATCGGCAGGTGCAGGCCGCACGCAGGGTGAAGGCCCGAACGCGTGAGCCGGAGCGGCCCGAAGGGACAGAGCGGAGCCATTGGTGAGTGTGGGGTGGACCGCCCCCCGAGCTCGAAGCCCGGCTGTCCGCTGGGGGAAGGCCGTGAGGCCTAGACAATTGTCCGAAATTTCGCAGAAAATCTTTAACAATCAGGTTGGGATACAAAGACGCGTACCCATGGATACCAGCCGGAGGGCTTCGACGCCCCCGACGCCCCCGTACCCCAAACGAACCACGGGCTGATCGCCCGACCGTGCCAGGTGAGGGCGCGGGGCATCACCAAAGGGCCGCGAAGGCCCGGGAGGGCCGCGATGAGCGGTTCCCACGCGCGACAGGCGGCGGGCAACACGACTATGGCGGGAGACCAATATTGCGTGAGGCGCTGAAGCGCCCGACCTGCCAAGCGCGGCGGGGGGTTGACCCACGCGTAGCCGCGCGGCGGACGCCAGTCGTGAGAGAAAGCGTCGACCCCCGCTGACCGACCATCAAAATAACGTGAAAAATAACGTTTGCAGACTGCCGTGGAGGCGGACGCAAACACGTCGAGGCAAATAGAGGCGGGATCGAGAGCCAACTGGTGGCAAATCCATGCGACCGCCTCGGGCTGAAACCCCCAGTCATGGGGGTCGTCAGGCTTACTGAAGAAGTCCGCCTGAGCTTGCCAAGGGTCTTCCCTGTTCGACCAGACAAGCTCGAGCTCCACGTCGTGCTCCCAGGCTAACAGGTGGATCGCCCGCACGAGGGGAAGGCATTCATTGACACCCTTCTGATGGTCGATGCAATACTTGCTCGCCTGACTGTCAGTGTGATATAAAAGGCGATGTGCCTTCACCATTCCAGGGGCACACACGATCAATGCGCGCAAAACCGAGTGAACAGCGAACAGCTCCCGAGCGGTGGAGCTAGCACCGATGAGATGCGAGGGGAGCTCCACCTGAAGGGGGTAAGGAATAGCCCCCCCCAGGAAAAAACGCTCCAACATGGGTTTCCGAGGCGTCGCCAACTGCGACAGTCGTTTCGCGGGCGCTGGGCCAACTGCGACCCTCAACCCTGTGGAAGTTGTCCCGCCACCACTCAAGCTCATCCCACACCTCCTGGGGAGTAGGGAAAAGGTCATCCCAAGACTCTGTCCCCACCAAGGCTGCGAACAGACGCCGAGTGAAAGCTGGGCACAGATTCACGGCCATGCTCATAGAGACGATGAGTCCCGCGATGTGAGCCAACTGACGGGAAGTAACACGATCACCGGCTAGCAGTTCACCCACAACCGAGAGAAAATAACTGCGTTTGTCAGCTGGAACACGGAAAGCACCCACGCCGGAGTCAACTTCCAAGCCGAGGAAGCGCTGCGTCTGTTTCGGCACCCAGTCGGCTTTCTTGGATGAAAAGAAAGTCCCCAGGGCTGTGCCGACAAGGGCCAAGATCAGACCGTCGAGCATACAGAGTTACGGGCTGGCCGCCGCTCCATACCGGTCGTCTATGAGGAAGGCCATCAACGAACCGAAATGGCGCAGAGGCCGGTAAAACGCTGTCTGAATGTGAGTAAAGGCCGCGCACGCGGATGCCAACCCGAACGGGAGATGGGTCAAAAGCAGAGTGCGACCCTTCCAATGGACCGCGAGGAACGGCCAGTCGCAGCGGCGCATACGCAGGTGATGGTACCCGGATTTCAGGTCCATCACTATGGCGTAGCACCCGCGATGAGCGAAGGCTAACACGTCGGAGAGCTGCTCATAGCGGACGGGTTCATACCTGACGAAGGAGTTCACATACCGCAGGTCGATCACCAGTCGCATCTTGGTGCGCTGAGTGACCACAGCAAGTGGGTTGACCACCTGGACCGGAGCATGGAGAGCGGGGTCGAACAGTACCGCCATGCCCGTTTCAACAAGGCTGCGGATGGCGCTGTCAGTGAACTCCTCATGTGTCATGGCGGACGTCCTGTTGGGGAACACCACGAAACTAGGACGCGTACCCGTCAGGTGACCGAGGAGCTGGTCCTTGGGGAGCACTTTGGCGAGCATAGCGCGCACCTCCTGGCGCTTAGCCTTGAAGTGCGGATGCAACTGCTGGCAATGCGACTCGGGGTCGACCCAGTCGATCGCATAGCCATGGCGCAACCAGGCCATAACCTTAGGCCGTTGAGGCCAATGAGGGATGCTGCGAAGGTACTGGGCCCACAGCTCGGCAAAGTGGTGCCAATTCCCTGCTACAAACTGAGAGTCGTCTAGCAAGACCGACTTT